ATGGCCGGTGACATTACATGCGGATCCTTGCTGCAAAAATTGCAGGTATGTTCGCATTTTGTTGTCCACAAATAGCAAGCAATTCTATGGTTTCTTGCTTGATACAGTGTGGCTGATGATGGCTTGCTTCTACTTCTACTGTAGTTGATATGGGATGAAGTTGGCGAGATTGAGGAGGACCGTGACAAGGTTCTTTATCAGCTGGACCAGGAATGCCTTGATGTTTACAAGAGGAAAGTTGATCAAGCAACTAACTCTAGGGATCTCCTGATCCAGGCGCTGGATGACTCAAAGATAGAACTTGCTAGGCTTCTTTCTGCTCTTGGAGAAAAAGCTATTGCAAGAACTGTAAGTGATTATATGCCTATGCTAGGAAAATTCATAGCTTCATTTCTGTCTTCCGTAACTCTGACCCCAATAGCATGCTTTGCAAGAGCAGTCAACTAATACCAGTATATCTTTATGCATGATTTAGTGTGTTATTCATGGCATGTTATACTTAGTGGAACTAGCTGCCTTCTTATATAGCCCTATTTTACTTATAGATTTTGTCATCACATTGTATGCTTCTTTTTGGCGTTTGGCGTCTACTTATGAAACTAGCTGCATTACATTTTTTTGCCACTGAATGCCTTGTGCAGCAGATTTAATGTTCTAGCTCAGAAATCATATGGAGCCTTACTCCAAGTGTTTAGATTTGAATCTATTTGCTTTACTGCTGGGCATACAATTGAGAATATTCAATCCATGCAGCCTGAGAAGACAGCAGGAACAATCAAGCAGCAGCTTGCTGCTATAGCGCCAACACTTGAGCAGTTGACTAAACAGAAAAATGAAAGAAAAAGAGAGTTTGTTAATGTACAATCACAAATTGATCAAATATGTGGTGAAATCACTGGCACCATAGAGGTGGGTGAGCAGGTGACAACACCCCAAGTCAATGAGGATGATTTGACACTTGAGAGGCTTGAGGATTTTCGGTCTCAGCTCCAGGAGCTTGAGAAAGAGAAGGTATTTTTCTATCTTTTGCCTTTTTATTGGTTATGACGTTATGGCGCTTCATACTTGGCCATTGCTTTAGTATTGGTTTCTTATTCATGAAAATAATTTGGTTTGCAGAGTAATAGGTTGGAGAAGGTTCTTGAATATGTGAGCATGGTACATGATCTTTGTACTGTCTTGGGGATGGATTTTCTCAGCACAGTGACTGAAGTTCATCCCAGTTTAGATGACTCTGTTGGCGACAACTGTAAGAGCATTAGTAATGATACATTGTCAAAACTTGACAAGACGGTAGCTACACTTAATGAAGATAAGAAGTTGCGTCTAAGCAAGGTAAATGCACATCTCCTAGTCTATAAATGTGAATTGCACTCTCTGCTTACGTGCACGATCTCACCATTGGCTTACTTTCACAGCTTCAAGAACTCGCTGGTCAGCTCTATGATCTTTGGGATCTCATGGATGCCCCCAAGGAAGAAAGGCGCATGCTTGATCATGTTACCTGCAACAGATCAGCATCTGTGGATGAAGTCACAGCACCGGGATCTCTTGCTCTAGATTTAATTGAACAAGTGAGTCTTAGTAATATTTTTTTGGTGCCATCACCTGATATGATTCCTTTGGCCTGCTTGACATTTACTTCTCCATTTATTCAGGCTGAGGTTGAGGTTCAAAGGTTAGACCAGCTGAAATACAGCAAGATGAAAGAAATAGCTTTCAAGAAGCAAACTGAGCTGGAAGATATCTACGCTGGTGCTCATATAGTAATAGACACAGCTGCTGCTCATGAGAAAATATTGGCGCTGATTGAGGCAGGTAACATAGAACCATCAGAACTAATTGCAGATATGGATGCCCAGATAGCAAAAGCAAAGGAAGAAGCATTGAGTAGAAAAGACATTCTTGACAAAGTAGAAAGATGGATGTCTGCGTGTGAAGAAGAGAGCTGGCTTGAAGATTATAACCGGGTATGGCAATAATTGGTTCGGCGAGTCAAAATTACTGCTGCATGTATCCTGTGATCATTTATGTGATAATACCAAAGCTGTGCTGGCTGTGGAGTAGCTTTTAACCACAAAATTAAAATACCTTCTGCAGGATGACAACAGGTATAACTCTACCCGAGGTGCCCACCTGAATCTGAAGCGTGCAGAAAAAGCTCGTATTCTTGTTAACAAGATTCCAGGTATCAGTTCAAACTATAACATGAATGCCCTTTACTTTAGCTGCGAAGAAGTTTGTGCCGTGAAAATTTTCTTTTATGTACAATGGACTTGTATCTTGATCTGATAGGTATGCTTTATGTTCCATTGATTGCTGATGTAAAATGTCTTCATCATCCTAGCACTTGTTGAAACTCTGGTGGCAAAGACCAGGGCATGGGAGGAGAACCGTGGTCTGTCCTTTATGTATGATGGTGTACCTCTTCTAGCTATGTTGGATGAGTATGTTATGCTCAGGCAGGAAAGGGAAGAAGAGAAGAAAAGAATGCGGGTTAGTGTGATATGCTCTTTAAATCTAGAAGCTATTATCACCTGAATTCCAATTCATTTATTGTCCATTAAGTTCCGTTTGGACCTATGCTGGAGTCTGGTCATTTTTTTCTGTTGCTGATATTTGGTACTATATAACTGCATTTTCCATTTTGCATTTGACTTCAACAATTTGGCATTTTGCTATTCTTTGAATTCAATTTCATTTTGGATGGTGGTGTTACATCTAATTATTGCTGTGGAAATGCTGACAGAGAATGCTCTGATTGTTTCAATTTGAAGTATGTGATTTTCGCCCCTTCTTTTGGGGAACATGAACTGATTCAGCACTCCTTTTTGTCTATGGTGTCCCGACATCTCAGGAACAAAAGCGCTACATTGAGCAGCAACTGAACACTGATCATGAAGGGCCATTCGGAACGCGAGTGAGTCCAAATCGGCCTGCCAGTTCGAAGAAGGCCATTGGCCCAAAGTTGAACGGCAGCGTCTCAAACGGCACTCTAAACAGAAGGCTCTCAATCAGTGGCCAACAGAACGGTGGTGGCCATGGCAGGTCTGGAGGGAAGGATAGCAAGAAAGACACAGCGAAGATAGCATCTCCTGGGAACAATGCAGCTGCAGCTGCACCTGTTGGTGTGGCAGCAACAGCCAAAGAAGACGCGGCCTCCCAAGTTTCTGTCACCGATCTGGTTCCAAGCACACCATGATCTTTAACCTAGCATGGTATATTAGATATAAGCGACCCCTTTTTCTGATGTTCTATTGTTGTGGTAATATATTGTAATGCCTTCGTAGAGTAATTATGATGCCCATCCTTCAGCTGCTTTGGCACTTATTGTGTAATTCTTGTTTTTAGTTCCGCTCGGCCTTGCTGTTTTGACTTGTCAGACGGTGTAGTATAGTCTTACTGAGATGTATTGTCATTAATCAGTGTGCTGGACGTATAAGCTGTTCTAACGTTTTTGGTGTGCCCGTCCTTGATTTTTGCACCCCTGTGAGCGTAGCTTACTTCCAATATTCTTTGGAAACTGGATTGTGCATTTCATTTCTGTAGGTACACTTAAATGATTGCTTCCACAAAGCTGCTATACTTGTAATATTTGAAGTCTTGCTACCTGTGATCTTAACACTGAAGGAATGAGGAATGAGTCGGATATTTGAATGACATAGCAGCTTGTTGAGGAAAAAAAAAGTTGTATCAATATTTTTGAAATAGATTGGGGTATGAAAATTTTATCTTATAACTGTAAGCTCCATCAGTCTTTTATCTTAACATCCAAGCCACCTACATCAGCAGCTTACTGGTATATGCAATTATGATATATCTATCTATTCATGTACAAGCTATTTACGTCAACAACCGTGGGGCTAGATGTTTGGGCTGTGCCTGTTGTGGCTGTTTAGCCCAGCCGTTCTGCTGCACTGCGGAAGCGTTACTTCTTCCTCTCCCTCTAGGATCATCCCCCCCGCCCCTCGCGTGCGCTCGCGGACGTAAGCAATCCAACTCTACCACTATTTACCACTATTTAAATTCGAATACGAATATGGATACGGATATTGTCGAATGCTAATACAAAACAAATATCTCGAATTCAGATTCAAATTTGAATATCTACTTGATTTTTAAGATAAATGTATCTATTTGCTTATTGATAGTTTCATAGTATAATAAATCATTATAAATGAAGGTTGAAATATATAGCTATATACACCGGCTATATAACACCGTGGATAAAAACAACTACGAAAAATAAAATATTTTCATCAATATTTCAATAATTAAATATATAAAATATAAGAAACTATAGATAATATATCTTAATTACTAAATTTAAATAAATAAAACTAAATCCTAGAAGTATATAAATAAAATACTAAAATTACGTTAAATTATTTTTATTTACATAGTTAATTAGTCGTAGTTATAAGATTTAGATAGTTTTAAAATAATTTGTACTTCACGGTATGAATAATATCGTATATTGTACATTTTTATCAAATACGGATGTAGAATCATATAGAGAATAATCTTTAAAAACGAATATAGATACATCCATTTAGCATTCATGATTGAATCGAATAGATGTTTCGGATGTATGGACATCCTCATCCATCCTACCTGCACGCCAGTTCCACGGCCCACGGGCCCACGGCCCTATCTACTTCGTGTAATCATGCCCGTCCCCTGCCAATGATTCGGATTTCTCTACGGACTCCGTGCTTTGACCCGTCTCTTTGCGTCTGCGTGCGTCACGTCTCCCTCGTCCCGTCACTCCACCGCCGTCCCCGTGAGCGCCCACCCCCAACCGATCCTATCCGTCTCAGCTCCATTAAAAAATCTCTTCCTCTCCCATCCTATTCAGGAAAAGGAGAAGGCAGCACCTCGATCGATCTTCCCCCCATTTACTCCTCCGTGCGTGCGGGCTCCCGATTCGATCGACGGCGTTTCGCAATCTCCTTTGATTCCATCGGCGGCGGCGGCGGCGGCGGCGGCGGCGGAGAGAGATGAGGAAGCGTGAGCGAGAGAACCCGTGCGGGATCTGTGGGCACTACCACAAGTACGAGGAGGGGGAGGTGTGCGGCGTCTGCGGGCACCGCCCACCTGCAGCGTCACCAGCTGGGGCGAGGCAGCAGGACTCGGCGTTCCCGTCCGAGATCCTCAAGGAGTTCCTCTTCCTCGGCAGCTACGACAACGCCTCCCGCTCGGAGCTCCTCAAGACCATCGGCGTCTCGCACATCCTCAATGTATGCTTATTCACACCGCACCTTACTATTACCTGCATGGATGGGTAGCCTTCCTTTTGTTTTCTTTAGTTGAATGCACTCGTGCTTGATCCGGTGAGGACTGATTAGTGCTAGGGTTTGAGGCTGAGTTGAATTGAATGCTAGCCCTTGTTCGTTGCTTGCTTTGGTAAGCAAATCAATGAAAGGGGTTAGTTAGTATGCATGCGCAAAGATGGAAGGTTACCTGGTTTCTTGTGGATGGGCTGAAGCTTAGTTCGGCTATGTTTAACTGGTAAGGTGCCATCTGAATGTCCAGTGGGTTAAAGTATTGGAAATAAGATGGAATAGAGGGATTTCATGGTACGATTGGGGTGAGGCACAAATGGTGGATTGCATAAGCAGAAAATGATTCTATTGGAAAATAGCAAACATGGTGATAGTGATAGTATGGGCTGCATTTTTGACCTTTTGTGATACTACTTATTGGGTTGTCATCTTTTTTTTGTACTAATAGTTAAGGCTGATGTTATGAATTCAGAACTGAAATGCAAGTCGGAAACATTTAATTTTTGGATGGATGCCTGGATGACTTGGTACATCTTATGTTGCTTGAGATTGCGAGATTTTGCATTGGAGCTTTTCTAGCATTTATGGAACTAGCATTGTCCTTGGGGAACTGTTCTATTCTTCTTTTTTACTTGTTCCTCTTTTACTGGTTTCCCACCGCAGGGAATATTCAGGTATTGCCATATTGGTGCGGCAGTGATGCCTCTGAACCATTTTCATAGCTTCATTGTGTGCGCATGCTTGTTTGATTCAGCCATAGAAAAGTTCGAGATGACCCTAATTAATACAAGTCGAAACATAGTGGAAGTTAAGGCTACTCCTGGTAGAGCATCTACTGTGCTCTATCGATGGTGGTTAATATATTTTTATAATAGTTACAATGTGGAGCTGATTACCACAACATAGATAATGAATCTTTAATTATCTCACCACATTCTGATGTTACCTTAGTTAGTGATCCTGACTTTGATTGCAATCAAGCTTGGATTGCAGGAAGCCTAAGCTGGTGTTATACTGCTAATATGCTATGCATCCATTTCATCTACTTCAGTAATGTTGCACTTTAAATTCTCAACTTCATTTCACTATTTGCATATTTATACCATCACAGATACTAACCATGTATACCATTTCAGTATTGTTTACAGTAATCCCTAAACTAAAGAAGAGTTTATTAAAAAATTAGTGGGTCAGCAACAATGTTGGTTACAGACCGACTTAGATCATTTTTTTGTGAATATCTCATGTTGAATAAAAATGTAGCATTCAATCTGCTAAGTTTGAAGAAATAAAAGAAATTACAAATCAAAATAACCCCCAAGACATTCTAGCCTAACTAATTATGTGGTAAAAGCAAACTTTGTTGTTGAACCAAATCTTACATCTGGGAATCAGGTTCCTTTCAAAATCATATGCAAACATGGGAAAAAGCAATTGGAAGATGGCGTACTAGAAGCTATCCCTTCCGCCTATGGGTGCAACTACACTGTTTCATCCTCTATAATAGGTCACGGAGTAGCATTAACTTGCATTGAAGCAACAGAGAAGTGGCCTAACTTATTCTGTCAAAGTACCTAGGAAAATTTTCGGTGGAAACCACCTTGGTGGTGGAATTGTGAAAGCCTCTAAAAAACATGGAATTCGTGAAAGGCTCTAAAAAAACATACTTAAAAGTAAAAAAAAAAACTTGGGCCATCCACAGATGGGACTGTCTCAGAAGTTAGGACGCAAAACCATTTTAGAAAAATTCACACAAAAAGTGATCAGTTTCAGGTGCATGTGCACTAGAGGACAAAATTTCTAGTGCATATGCACCTGAAATCTGTCATTTTCTGATTTTTCCAAAACAAGTTTGCATCCCAACTCTTGCAACATGTCTCATCTATGGGTACACTATGGCTGTGCCAAATTCCGACTTTGAAGTGACCTAAATTATGGTACCATTCACCAATTGATGGTTCTGACGGTCTTTTACTCTGAAGTACCTGAAAAATATTCAGTGGAACTGTGAAAACCCCTTAAAAAACATACTTACAAGTTTAAAAACAAAACGAAGCTTGGCACATCCAAAGTGCATCCATAGATGCAACATGTCACAGAAGTTAGGATGGCACTATGGATATGCCAAGTTTTGAATATTTGAAAACTTCTAAGTATGTTTTAGACTTTTAGGGGGTTTTCATTATTCTACTGGGTGGTTTCCGTCGAATATTTTCACAACGTACCTCTACTCAACATTACATGCACCTAGAGTCAAAAGGTATATTTGGAAGTAAGCTGATCTTCTGGCAGGGAGCTTGCTGTTGCAAGTTACAGTGACAACTGGGCACACAGTAACCAGATAACCAATGTGTCAATAGACCAATCTGGGAGGAAGTAGGTGGCTTTATATTAAGATGAAAATAAGCTCCCATATTTGCCTTGATGATGAATTAACCTGTTTGGTCTGGGCATACTGTGTACATCCACATCCTCAACCAACTTGAGCTTCCTAGATTGCCAATATCAGAGTTTACTGATGCCTTATTGTCTAGACATTTCATATGAAACTTCACATCATGCTTGTTCTTGTCTGAATGTGAAATGACATTGATGTCCCTTTACTTGCAGACTGTACCTTTATGCCAAAATCTTTACCGGAATTCATTCACTTATCACTGCCTTCAAGAGGATAAGACTCTGCAGTTTGATGATGCAAATCAGTTTCTAGGTACGCACACTATTCTCTTTTTCTCTGTACCTGTTGATTGTAGGTTAACCATTTCCCCGGTAAGTTCATTCTATTCCTAATTAAATGCTTCGTTGAACTTCAGAGCAATGTGAGAGGGAGAAAGCACGCGTCCTAGTCCATTGCATGTCAGGGAAAAGTAGGTGTGTATGGTACATATATATATTTTTCCATCTGGGAGCTATAATCTTTCATATTACTGGCACTGATTTGACTAATGTTATCAAAACACTTTATCAGATCGGCAGCATTTGTAATAGCCTTCTTGATGAAGTCGAGAGGTTGGAGATTGGCACAATCCTTTCAGTGGGTGAAAGAGCGGAGACCACAAGTGCAACTGTCTGATGGTAATTTAATGAATTGCACATACCTTTCTGTCATTTTTGTTCTCAGATGCCTTGAAGAAAAATAGGATGATTGATGCTCAAGTAGGCTCTTATTACAAAAATAGTTATGCCTAGCTACATGAGCGTATGAATTACACAATAAGATTGGGCCACCCCTTAGCATGCACAAATGTATGCATATCAAGGTGAAATGATACATCATCATTCGTTGCAACACATGAATTTATTGTAGTGGCTTGTTCTCATGTTAATTCTGTTTCTGCACTGGCTGACAACTGACATGTGGGTGTTTGAGGGAAAAAAAACTGACATGTCGAACCCAGCCCTGATCTGAAAATGTCAGTTAGTACCACAGTAATAAATAACATAAAACTTATCATGGTAAGTGCAAAGTAAGGTGAAATTAGTTCATATTTATTTAGTTTATTAAAGTATAGCAAGTAATCCTTACGACTTCTTGAGTCTACTAGCTACTGAAAGCATGGAGAGGCTACAACTACTGACTTGAATTACTATCTGATTGAACTCAGTAGTTTAGCTAATACAAGTTCTCACACTTAAATTCGGACCTTCTAGCCACACAAATAATAGTGCATTTACCAAGTGCTAACATTAGTGATGAACTTGCTTTCTGCAGCAGCACAGCAGCAGCTGATTGATTATGAAATGAAGATTTTTGGTTCTAATAATGTCAGCATACCAGCTCAACCTTTTCCACCAGTGGATTCGTACCCTTCTCTTGGATTTGGTTTTCCAAAACCAGCAGGCGACATCCAAGTGCCTACCTTTAACCAGCAGGCTCCAGCATCTGTCTTTGAGCGCGTTACCCCGAACAGCTTCCCTAGTAATTTCACATTCGGAGCTGAAAGAACTAATGAGGCGAAACTTCCAGATAGCAACAATTTCGGTGTGATAAACTCGTCTGGGAGTGATAGCATGATGGACAGCTCCTACGATGGTTTTGCCTTCATTGATACACAAAAGAAATGACTCAATTGCAAATTTAGTGAGGTTTCTCGGGATGTTTTTGATTTCTGAGAAAGAAATTCATTTTTGTAATAGGATGTTGCAATATTTGCCAGTATTATTACAATTGCTGCTGTGCATTTTAACAACCATGAGTGTGCTTTTTTATGGAACTTTTCTAGTGTAATTCACGTGAACAAATTACGCTGGATAGTTTGAACAAAAAGCTACACATGTGCTTGTTAAGATGTACATATTTGTCGGCTCAGAAACTATAAATCAAAATCCATACCTAGTTGTCATCATCAATAGGAGATTCAGATTACATATTATTGCAGTATACAGTAAGAAAACTCAATTGCTGCAAACTTCTCCAAAAGTGCTGAAAATAAATACAAAGGTTCATATTTGGGGATTGCTGATACAACTTGAATGCCTTGCAGAGTTGCTATTGCCTTCTGTGGATTTCCTTTTTCTTAAAAAATGTTCCTTTTGTATCGAACTGCTTGCTTAGATTTTGTTGCTCTTCCTGAGTTTTCACAAGAAAAACTCCTTCCTGTGTGACCGTGTTACAGCATGGTGGCCATGTGAAAGGTTGACTTCGCACATGCATAGGGTTGGGTAATGCGTAGGGCTTAGCTGCACCCATACTTGGGAATTGAGATCGCCAGAGTCTGTAGACAATTTTCCGCTTCTTGTGGGCCTCTTGTGTCCTCTCTGAAATTTAACCTGCTTGTAATGTTTGTTCGCGCGCCAAGAACATTGCAAGGGAAGCAACAGCAAGCAGCCACATGCATCCACTTCTACATTTTCATGGAGACAAGAGAAAGTATCGTGCACATAGTCCAGCACACCACATCACGGCACACCAGAGCCAGACTGAAAGAAGGGGACGTCACACCAGAGCCGATGTAGAACTCTTGATTCCCTTTATTTGTATATTTGTAAGAGTGATCTAGCCTTGACCCGGCAGCATTAGACTTATCGCCTGACATAGTCGATCGTGCACGTCTCCTTGGGCCATTCAAGCACCTTCGCTGCCTTTAGAACATCCTGACCTGCATCACTGAATCCCACATAAATACACACAAATGAGGTTCTCCATTTTATGGAAAAATTAAGGCTGGGAAGATAATCCCCTTTTCCATAGAACTTATGCTTCACCGATAGTTGGCTCGTGAGATGAAAAGACGCTAAAAATAATATCAAGAGAATGAAAATTTCAATTAAATCAGAAAGAATAGCTAGGCTGCAGTTTAGTCAAGGAACTCACAACCAGAAATACCCAAATCAAGGAATTAAATACTTGCTACCTGATGCATAGTCTTGATTGTACTGTTTGAACTCTGCCAGACTTTTCAGCTTCCTTGATGAGCTGTTCAGTTGAGTACTGCATGATGATTTGTTGTTTTTAGTAAATGCGGTTCTAGTGATTATCATCCTACCCCCCCCCCCGCCCAACAAAAAAAAAAAAAAAAAAAGAAAAACCCAATTCTCATATTTGAAAATATCACCAACAGCCTGCATCTTTTAATGATTCTTGTAATATTTTCCTTCTCATCTTCTAGGTATGTCTGAACTGGCCTCTGGTTCAATAGGGATGCTATCTGGTCTTTATCTACCTTATTTTCTGCCTGCAGGAATCAATAAGTCTACATTCAGAAAGGATTGGTTGAAAATTAGTTGATTGTTAGACTGTATAGTACCTGAAGCTGCAGAAGTTTGGCTCCATAAAAGTTCGTATTTCATTAAGAAAGTAGTTGGCTTCATAAAGTTGTTGGCCTTGTTCTTGAAACAAGGCACGAGGAATATCAACCTCAACCAACTAAGCAAACTAAGGAGAGATTAGTGAAAAAAAATTATGTACAGCTTATATGCTGTAGATTCACAACGCGCAAGGTCTATTATAGAATGACAAAGTCCAACATTCGGCTTGCCAGCGTCTCGACTTTATTACGAAAACCATAACTCTTTCACCAGAGTTCATTCAGGCCCATGAGTACTTGATGGATTGATAAGCTTTCCAATGGATCTAGTTCCACCTCATTATCCTGTTGGCAATGTTTCGAAATCATCATGGCATGTTATTGTTGTGTTATGTCGGGTGCCTATGTCACCATTTATCGGCCCTGGAGCCTTATAATCACCCTTAGGATCCTACTCTAAGTGGGAGCATGCCCCCAACCAGGTGGAGCACGCCCCAAGGGTGCCCTAGGACGTCCTCCCCTTGGCCACCTCATGCTGCTTCGCCACCGACATCGGCCGTACTATTGTATACTTTGTTGCGGTCACTTTTAGACTTGAGTTTTGTTTAAATTAATCTGTCATTGAACAATTTCGTTGTGTGTTGGTTTGTGGAACCCCATCTTATGAGCTGATTTATATTAGAAATATTTTAGATTGCATCTTCTATGTGTCTTGCTTGTGTTCTTGGTTTGCATCTAAGGATAAGCCTTCATGACGAGATAAGTCGTTGCGCGTGCAGTTGATAACTGAAAGTGCATCTAGACCCCTAAGTGGGTTTTGGCGCATTGATGACGATACAATTAAGGGTCTAATGAGATCTATTAGGTGTGGACAGGTTGTAATCATGCAAAGGAGTATGACAACACAATGAGACCCCCTAATTCAAATCATAGGAGCGTATGGATGTCTGAAGGCTTACTCTATTAATTTCTATTTTGAATTTGAGTCTAGGAAGCGCCGTACTATAAAGGAGGACACAAATGGCAAGGTTAAGGGAACCATGTGTTCTTGCAAAACATCAAAAGCCCTAGGCCAAACCAAAGCCAGAAAAGCCAATTCCTATTCTTTCTGACCTCCGTAGAAGTTACATGGATATATGCGGAAGTTCTGCGTTTTTATGTGGAACCTCCGCACTTAAACTGTACCGTTTGGAAAGTAGGGGAGGGGTATTTATACCTCTTCCCCTTCTTCTCCAACGGTCACCTGCTGCATTCAGACACCCACTAACTCGTGGACAAGCTCTCTCTTCTCCATTGAAGGCCACCCAACCTCCACCTTGAGTTCTAAGTGATTTCCCCTTGCGAGATTGGGTTAGGGAGTGGATTAGAGAGCCAAAGAGCAAGAGCTTCAGATCTAGAGCACTTGGTTCTCCCTCTAGCTTGTGGTTTGAGTTCATTACTATTGGAGCTTAGATTCCTTGATGGATAGAGGTACGTTGCCTGAGAGCTCCTAATCAGTTGTGGTTGAGCACTGAAAAGTTTGTATTGCCTTTGTGAAGCTAGTGGCGGAAACCCTCAAGCTCGATCTTTATGGTTCACTTAAGAAAAGGTAGGAGTTAGAAGAGACTCCAAGCCTATGTGGCTCCCTCAATAATGATAACATAGGAAAGCCTTGGTGGCTTCGCTGAACCTTAGGGTAAATCTTGTGTCTTGCCTCTTGTTGTTGTGATTTGAGCTCATGTCTTGTATATACTGCAAAATTAGGGTTTCCACCTGTCGCGGGGTCGGAACCATGACAAGCATTGTTGTTCAAGTCGGTGTCAGAGTACGTGTCTCTGGTGGCTCGGGTGGACCCAAGAACATAAGAATCACAGAGAGGACGCAACAGTTTATCCTAGTTCGGGTCGATCGATGCCCTACGTCCAGCAGCTGATGATCCTTATACTCAAGAGCACCCAAAATCGGGGGTTACAACAGAGTGTATAGGAGGTAGAGAGATATTTGGGGGGTTAGCTCGGTGCTAATCCTGAGGTTGCCTCGTCACCGGTGGAGCCTTCCCCTTGTCGGAGAGGAGGAAGATGACAGGTGCGGTGGAGGAGCTCTCGGTGCCCCTCTCTGGGTTGCTCTGCTCTCGGTGCCGAGTAGGATTGGATCGATGAGGAATAGAATGATTTGTCTGGGATCGTCCTCCTCCCTATAGGGTTCGGCCTTATCCTTATATATCGAGATAGGTCAGGTACATGGTGGTTTGGGGGGTTCAGCCTATGGTCTACATGCGCTGGAGTCCAGGAGGGTCTTACAGCGACGATATGTGGACCGTGGCGATGTCGTGAAGCTGAAGAAGCCTAGGGCGTCATCCGGCTAGCCTATTCTGACACACTGAGAGTCAGGCTGTGTTGGCTTGGACCAGCCTCCCCTAGGCACACCTTCTGGATTCTTCTTGGTGGCGAGGGAGGTCGGCTCGAGGGGCTGACACGTGGGCCCAGAAGCCCCTGAGCCCCCGGAGACCGATGAGAGGTTGTCTTCTTGTGTCACACCCCGTGTGTGACCCTATCAGGGGAGCGGACGGCAAGGCCGCGTCCAAAGTGCTGAGTCGCAGAGTCCCTGAGCCTCGATGGCTCGGGGCGTGTCTTCTAGTGCCCGGGCCTTGGCTGGCGTTGTCGATCGGGCAAGAGCCAAGGGCTGGGCTTAGGTTTCCCATTGATCGAGAGTCTGAGGCTTGGGCAAGCCCCCGAGCTCCGAGCAGAGGCAGCAACATGCTCAGGCTCGGGCGAGTTTCTTGGTCTGAGGGTGCGCTCAAGCGTACCCGATGGATATAGCCCCGAGCCCCCGGGCGATCCTAGAGGGGTCGGTCGGGGGTCTCTTCAGTCGAGAACCATTGATCCCGAGGATTAACATACCCATATGTTAGTATCTCGTCTGGAGCCCCTGAGCCCTTCGTGGCCTCACTTGGCCTGGTTCGTGATGGCGACGAAGGGCTGAATTCGATCTTCTGGTGACCGAGCTAGCCATGGCAGGGATGCCTTCTCCTGACGAGAGTTTGATGCCCTGCGTGAGGCCTTCTCCCCATGTGAAAAAGGGGTGCTTGGCTATTGAGGCCGAGCGATAGTGGTGTTGACCCCTTCTCTGGCCCTATGTTGCGTAGGTCTGTGGCCCGAGCGAGGGTTCGAAGAACTTGTTTGGGAGTTACTGACTTCAGGCCTGGGGGCACCCTTCTTTTTGGTCAGAGCCTACCGTGGGTCGGGTGATCGAGAGTGTCTGGGCTCTGGCTCGGGGCCACCTGATCACCTAGCATGCCATGCCCTTCTGGGGGCTTCGGTAATAGGCCCTGATCCTCTC